GCTGCCTGTTCCACCTTCCCTAACGCCAAGAGCAGAGCAACTTCCCCCAGAGCACCTCCTGAGAACAGGGCAGGAGAAAACCACCAAAGGAAAGAGCCACACATCACTTGCAGCATTTTTACATGCAATAGTAACAGCCTCTTGGTGCCATCATCAGCCATGGCATTTCATTCACACAGAACACTTGTGGGCACATCACATATGCTTTTCCATTCAATGTATTTTTAAATGTTTCCCAGGCAACTGTTTCAATACAATATGCCTCCTTGGCAACCTGGTACCCTGCAAATGCCATGCTAGTCTCCCTAGGCCTCTTTTTAGGTCTTCCCATCTTGGCATGTAAATGTCACGAGGGTGGATTTTCCCCCTCCAGCCACACAGGTAGTGATGTGCCCTCACCCCTGGAGAGGGAAGGCAGGATGGGAGAGGTGAGTGTGCACTGACAAAATCAGCTCTCAGAGGGAGCAGGTTTCAAAGGCAGTGACTCCTCATGGAACAGAGAATGTCTCCTACAACTAAAATTAGGGAGAGCCTACAGAGCTGTCTCCACTCGACTGACTTGCTCTGGAAGCAGCAATGAGCCTGCACTTCTCAAACTGAAACTGCACATCATCTTTGTCTCCTGACTATGCCAAGGAAACCTTGCAGTTTTCCTCCTTTGGTGGCTTGAATTGCAGTACATCAGTTAATGGACAGAGTCAGACTGTCCCAGCACACCACAGACAGTGATTAGCTCCTCACTCACTGGGTCACTACAACTGAGCTGCTCTTTCCAGGGCTGCATTTGCTGCTGCCACGAGGAGACACCATCAAGTCCATTTGCTGCAGCAGCTTTCCTGGCGCTCTGCAGGCTGTGGACATTATCCTGTATCCTTTGTGAAGTCACAGACTGTTTGACAAGGACGAAAAAATTACCCACACATCCTCCCAAACCAACCCGTGAAACAATTAAAACATCATAATGTTTCAATTTTCTAGCCAGGCACGATTTGCTCTGAACACTTTTATCTGACACAGGAGCTAGCACCAAAGGTATTTCAGAAGGACTCAAACTATCTGTGAGCATCTGTAGCCATAAAAGAAAAGTTTTAATAAAACCTGCATGTGCTTTAGCCTCCAAGTGGTACATTAAACAAAATAATAGCTCCTGGTGCAGTGACATCAGGCTCTGAGAAACCATGGCATCTCTTCTTCCATAACAACAGCTGAAAATCACAATTTTTCCAGGCTATAAAATGCCTGACACTCCACATTCTACACCGGCAGCAAACCCTCCTCCCTGTCTGTGAGCTGCTGGGTCTGTAACAGAGCCCCTGCACTTCAGGCTGCAGAATTCCTCCCAAATGCAGAAGCTCTGGTTGAATGCTGCAGCTGTTGGGGAGGAAATCAGAAATAGCAGAAGGCGGATTAGCTGATAATGTACCAGTTCTTCCCCAGCAAATGCTGGCACCTGCGTTTGACACTCTCCTCTCTCCTCGGCCCAGGAAAAGCTCCCTGGGTTTGTTTGGCAGGCAATTTATAGGCTTTAGTGATTGTGGAATTGCAGAGGGATTAGAGCTGGTTATAATAGCCCCTTCTTCCTGAGAGCAGGAGTTAAACCCGAGGCCCAGTCTGCAGCCAGAGGCAGGGACCGTGGCCGTGGAGATTAAGCGTGTGCAGCTCGGTGGGACTCGACGGGGAACAGATAACTACACATGCTGCCACTCCAGTTACAAGGAAATCCCTGCAGATTATCTGCAGGAGCATTCTAGCTGCCACCAGCACAAATCCCTTGACCACTGGCTCCAGTCCAGCCCAGGCTGAGTATGATAAGGACTACTCCGTGCATTTCTAGGAGAGCATTTTTCCTGAGATCACAAAACATTCTAATTACCAAATTACACAAGAGCCAAAGTCAAGCAGGAAGTGACAGGATTTCCATGCAGTGCAAATGATCTCGTGCAAGGTGGCAGGTCCTGTTCCACACTTCGCCCTCATGTTCTCAGTGCACTATTAATCGTAATTAATTAGTCCCTCAGTGGACAAAGGTGTTTGGAATGCTGGTTTGAAGCCCACAGGTGGTTACAGGAGCAGAGAGCAGAAGTGAAGACACCCGTGGCACACCTGCCCTCACAGGTGGGAATGGGTGTGCACGGAGCTGACAGCAGTGACAAAGACCTCACACTTTCCAGTTAAATCCACAACACACAAACTCCCCCACGAGCTACAGCTGCCAGAGCAGCAAGGTTTTTCTCTCTTACTTTTTACAGCCAGAAGCTGCAGTAATAATTCCCCCTATTCTTTTTATGATATTCTTTCATTTGTGGCCCTTATTGCACAATAACCAACTTTTATGTTCCCCCATAATAAAGCCTCTGCAAAGGCTCCACACAGCAGCAGGCTCAGGCTGCACTCACTGCTGCCTTGGGAGAAGTCCTATCTAACCACATAAATCTGTGGGTCCAGCACATGATTTAGCAGCAGAGGATTGTCAAAGGGGTGTCCAAGGGGTCATAACGCGACCCAAACACCGCAGGAATAGAAGAAGAGTCGCTGTGGCTAAGGAATCATTAGCACAGAGGCACCTCGAGGTATGTTGGGAGCTCCAGCTGAGATCTCCCAGCCCTCGGATTTCGTGAAATTCCCATTTTCGCATGGTTTGCTGCCGCCAAGTGGCGATGGGCAAAGCTGTGTCAGGGTTCGCAGCGATCCGGAGTGAGAAGCGCCAGGAACGCTCCAGCTGGCTGAGAAATCAAACCTCTGCCCCTCCTCTCTCAGCCACTCGCACGGCTGATCCCCTCTCCAGTCCTCTGCTTTACTCACACTCACCTCCCGCTGCTCTTCGCTCTGTCTCTGCTGCACCACCACCTTCCTCTCTCAGGCCTAAACCTCCAGACCCAACCACCACCTGCCCCTGCTCAGCTTACCTTGTTCCACCTGCTGAGACAGAGCCTTTCCTCACAGCGAGGGGAAGGAGGAACTTTTCCTGGGATCTCACTGGAAGCAGCTTCTGAATGTCACCAAAAGTGACAGGCAGAGCTCTGTGACTGTCCTGGTGCTCCTCGGGCACTGCAGTGGCTGTAACAGAGGTTAACATGGGAAAAGTCAGTCCCAGTGACAAGGATTGGCTTTTCCACTGTCATTTGCTTCTTCCCAAACTGCATTCTCATTTCAGTCAGCTCAGCACATAGCTGAAGTGATAGCACTAGTGTGACTTTTTGAAAGTAATTTTTATTATTTTTATTTTTCAGCTGGGCTGTCTATGGTAGAAACCTGCACAGACCTTAGGAGTAACTAAGCACTTTGCCCTTCCAAGATTTTCACAAAAAGGAAACCCATGAATGCTCCTTTAATGCTAAGGAATTAGCCATGACAGAGCATAAAAAAGACATTCTGAGCTCGCAGGAACACAAAGTACCTGAGGTAACAGAGGAGAGGTGAGAGCTGAGAAATCTCTTCCTGTGCTCTGGCTGAATCATCTCCACATGGAAACACCCCTGGCTGTGCCTGGATGGAGCTCTCACTGCTCGGGTGAGATCTACCAGTCCATGTGGGATGGGAAGCTTTGAACTGTGGGATCCAAGTGCCATTTCCAGGGGTCAGCTCAGCTGTTACCTGACACACCTTTGCTGGGCTGTGCCCAACAACAACTCACAGGTGTAACAGAGTCACTGTTGGTGTTTCCTTTTTAGCCTGAAGAAACAGGCACAAACATCCAGAGCAGCATAAACGCAGTTATAACTGCAAAATGTGAACTTGGGTTGGTCTTTTAGCAGCATAATTTGGTTTTGGGGAGCAGTGCTCTGTTCTGCTCTCCCTCAGCAGCACCTGCTGCCAAACTCACTCCTTTGCTTCCTCACACAACTGTTCTGTGGGGAATGTAAGCAGCAGTTCCCCTCTGATCCTTCAGGCACTCTGGGAGAACCCTCAGGTGTCTCTGCTCTGTCTGAGGTGTCTCTGCTCTACCTAAGGAATCTTTGCTGTGTCTGAGGTTTCTGCTCTGTCCGAGGAGTCTCTGCTGTGCCTGAGGTGTTTCTGCTCTGAGGTGTCTCTGCTCTACCTGAGGAATCTTTGCTGTGTCTGAGATGTCTCTGCTCTGTCTGAGGTGTTTATGCTCTGAGGTGTCTCTGCTCTACCTGAGGAATCTTTGCTGTGCCTGAGGAGTCTCTGCTGTGTCTGAGGTGTCTCTGCTCTGTCCAAGGAGTCTCTGCTGTGCCTGAGGTGTTTCTGCTCTGAGGTGTCTCTGCTCTACCTGAGGAATCTTTGCTGTGCCTGAGGAGTCTCTGCTGTGTCTGAGGAGTCTGCTCTGTCCAAGGAGTGTCTGCTGTGTCTGAGGTGTTTCTGCTTTGAGGTGTCTCTGCTCTACCTGAGGAATCTTTGCTGTGTCTGAGGTGTTTCTGCTCTGAGGAATCTTTGCTGTGCCTGAGGTGTCTCTGCTGTGTGTGAGGAGTCTCTGCTCTGCCTGAGGAATCTTTGCTGTGTCTGAGGTGTTTCTGCTCTGAGGAATCTTTGCTGTGCCTGAGGTGTCTCTGCTGTGTGTGAGGAGTCTCTGCTCTGCCTGAGGAATCTTTGCTGTGTCTGAGGTGTTTCTGCTCTGAGGAATCTTTGCTGTGCCTGAGGTGTCTCTGCTGTGTGTGAGGAGTCTCTGCTCTACCTGAGGAATCTTTGCTGTGTCTGAGGTGTTTCTGCTCTGAGGAATCTTTGCTGTGCCTGAGGTGTCTCTGCTGTGTGTGAGGAGTCTCTGCTCTACCTGAGGAATCTTTGCTGTGTCTGAGGTGTTTCTGCTCTGAGGAATCTTTGCTGTGCCTGAGGTGTCAGTCTGTGCTGTGCCTGTGTCCAGCCAGGGCTGCTGTCCCACAGCTGTGCTCGGGCTGTGGTGTGAACTCGGGCCGTGCCCGCGGCTGCCCGGGCTGAGGCACTGCCGGAGCCCAAAGTCTGAGGGGAAAGCGTTCAGAGGTTCTCGCCAGGCCGAGGGGGCGGACGGGGCGGAGGAACAGGAGGAAGGGGAGGAGAGAGCCGCGATGGGTGAGGACGGAGGCGCCAAACTGCGGCTGAAGGGCAGGAGCGCCGGGAACAGCCCCGGGAACAGGTCCGATCCTTCTCCAGCCCCGGATCCAATCACTGATCCAACCCCTGATCGATCCGCGGCCTCAGGTCAATTCCTGATCGATCCCAGATCCACCCGCGGCCTCAGATCGATCTCCTGATCCATTCGTGGCCTCAGATCGATCCCAGATCCACCCGTGGCCTCAGATCGATTCCGGATCTATCCGCGGCCCCATCCCCGGCTCCGGGTCCAGATCCATCTCCAGGTCCATCCCCATGTCCATCCTCATCCCCAAGTCCATCCCCAGATCCATTCCCAGCCCCAGGTACATCCCCAGGTCCATCCCAGGTCTATCCATTCCCAGATCCATCCACAGCCCCAGGTCCATCCCCATATCCATCCTCATCCCTCCAGATCCATCCTCATCCCTAAGTCCATGCCCAGGTTCATCCCCAGACCTATCCCTGGCCCCAGATCCATCCCCATGTCTATCCTCATCCCCAGATCCATTCCCAGCCCCAGTTCCATCCCCATGTCCATCCCCATCCCCAGTTCCATCCCCATCCCCATCCCCAGTTCCATCCCCGTGTCCATCCCCGGTTCCATCCCCGGGTGGCTGAGCCGGGTCTGGCCGAGCAGTTTGGCTCTGGCTGTTCAGCTCTGTGACAAAGCACAGCCTGGAGCAGCTCCCTGCACAGCCAAACAGACACTGAGCACACCAGGCCTCGTGTGTCTGCACAGAGCAGGGACTGAGAGGGTCACTGTCTGCACACCCAGTGTTCCTTCCCAGAGAACAGGAGTTATCCCTGTTTTTCCCAGCCCTGGAGCAAGGGAGGGCTGAGGGCAGCGAGTGGTTTGGGTGTTGTTGGAGCCTGTGCAGCATCAGCCACACGTGTCCCTTCCACAGCAGCTCCTGACAGGGTTGAGGGATTCCTTTGAGGGACTGTAGTTGGTATTTTCTTCTCAGTGTAGCTTCACTCCTGGACAGTGACCCAAGGAAATGCCTCAGGAAGGAGTGAGAACACTGAGAATAGTGTTCTGACATTATCAATCCATCCTTTTCTTGGAATAGTCTTCATACAGCATTACTTACAGCATTACCCTGGTCATGCTCATAGTTAAACCTTCCTAGGGCCTTGACTTCTTATAGATTGAACCTTCCTAGAGCCCAGGATTGATTAAATCAAGCTGTTTGGACAGACAGGAATTTCATGGCAGTATGGGAATGGCAGAGGTGGGGAACCTACAAAAATTACAGGCTAAATAAAGTCTTTGTGTCCCAGAAAAGAAAGGGCAAAGTAATATCAATGCAGAATGTTCCCTCTCTCCCCCCCTCAAACTCTTGGACTGTGTCTGTCTTTACAGGACATTGACTGACAGATGGCCCAAGTTTGAAAAAGAAGGATTAAATGAGTGTGAACAAACATGGGTGTTGTTACTGGAAGGCATCAGTCAGGACACAGACTGGGACACAGTGCCCAGTTTTCCAGAGTTCTTGGAAAAGGTAATGTGCTGTATCCTTGTTTTTAGCACTTTGTGTCCTGCTCCAGTAGTGACAGCCTGAACAGTTCAGATTGCTGAGGAGTTTCAGCTGTCCCCAGGGCCAGGGACAACTCAAGGGGCAGGATGGCACATTCTTTCCAACATTTTGCTGGGAAGAGGGAGCATGTAAGGATGCTGATTGCCATCACCAGCCTCTCCCTAAGGGATGGAGCTGGAAAAGGCAAACTGTACCAGCAAGGTCATTACAGAGTACATTTTTGCCCTTGAAACAGCAGCAGAACCTGTTGTTTTTATCCTTTTTTTTGAACATACTGAAAGTACTCATTGTGTCCATGTAGAAATGCTAAGGAAAGACGTATATTCCATAAACTCCAGGAAGCTCTTGATTGCTCTGCAGGCACTGGAAAGGGATGTAAATAAAATGTACTTTTTCCACTGTAGTTCAGCCTTGGTTCTGTGCATTGATTGAGCTGCATTTGTGTCAGACATTGTGTGTGTGTTGTAGAGTGCTGAGGAGGAGAGTCCACGGCACCAGGAGGTCTTTACAGTGGGAATGAAAGAATTCCAGTGGGAATCATTCCCAGTTTTTCACAAAGAAAGCTGTCTGAGCCCCAAGGATCTCAGCTCCCAGCAGCCAGCACAGAGCCACAGCAACCAGTTACACACAGGACTGGGCCAAGCAGATGAACTGAAAGATTTGTCATCTACAGCTGAGAAGAACTGTTGGGGAACTAGTACTGACCAAGCCAAAACTGCAGTTGGGGAAGACACAAAAGGTATTTTAAAGGTGGATGTAAATCCCAAGTCCTAGGAACTCCCTGGACACAGTTCTGCACAGCCCTTGGCAAGGCACAGAGCTCTGCAGCTCACAGCAGCACTGCCCAGGGATGGTACAGAGCAGCAGGGAAGGCAGGAAGGAGTGACAGGAGTGAGCTCTGAGTACAAACACGATGGGAACATTGCAGGTGGTGAGGTCAGGTGTGTGCCTGAGGAGGAGTCTCCTCGTGGGAGCAAACCTGGGCCTGAGAGCTGTGAGAAGGTGGAAAACCAGAGCGAAGGATCTTCAGCCCTTGAGAGCTGCCCCATGTGTCAGGTGCAGTTCAGTGGAAGGTAAGTTGTTTGGGGCTTTGTGTGCATCACTACACACAAAACCCTGAAAACAGTAAATTCCTACTGAAAAGCTTTTTAACCACCTCTTACCTCCTTTAATTCAGTTCACAAGTAGAGTATCTGCTCTACAGTGAGAACTGTGTTGTGTCCACACCATTTCCTAGTCTTTAGGCTGTCAGAGGTGCTGAGAATGTGTTTTTTCCCTGTTTTCTCTGCGATGGCCTGGGGAGTGAGGGTGGAGCAGTGCAGTGAAGGGATGTGCCTCTCTCTGTGTGCAGACTCTCTCAGCTGGACATCGATGCTCACCTTGCCAAGTGCCTGTCTGAAAGTGCAGGTGATGTCATGTGGTGAATCCAGAAGAATGGAGAGCAGAGGAACACGGCCAAGGATGAAGCTTCCTCCAAGGAAAAGGAAAAATGTGTCAAGGAAGCACATCCTTGTCTCAGACTCACTGAAGGATCACAAACCAGGAACTCCAGAGAAGGCCAAGTGTCAAAGGTCTTCTTATTTTAAAGCCTCTCAAATGCATATAAAGCAGTTCTAGTTCTGAAAATGGTTCTCTGGGATATCCTGGAGATCCTCAGGGAAATCAGGATTGGTGCTCCTGAAAAACTCTACTGCTGGTGATCCCCGAGGAACCTGTTTGATGCAGCACAGCTCTGGATCTCAGGGCAGAAAAAGCAGCTGAACAAAAGACAACTGTTACTTACTCTCATAGAGAAGTTCACTGGTCTATTTTTCTAAACAGATAATCTGTGAAAATAAACTTAATTAAAAGTCATTGAGCTTAGTATTTTTCAGTATTTTAACGTCTAAGAACTTGTGATTGCACAGTTGGTTCTGTGACTGTATCTGTGCTCACAGAAAACACCCCAGGGCCAAGAGAGGCTGTGGGTTTGTGTTTCTGAGGGAACACAGCTAAATCCATAACCTTCCTGTGCAGCTTGCTAAGGCAGGGCCAGCGTTAATCAAGTGATTAGCATGACTGGTCTAAATTAGGCTGCAGAGGGAACACTTCTGCCACTCACACAATGCTGAGCTGCAGAGGAAGAGGCAAAACTGCTGGTTGTGTATCAGTTCCACACCCACCTTAGACCCCAGGGCCAGGTCAGAGCTGGGGCTGAAGTTCATCTGGAGGTTCATCTGCTGTTTTGGTACCTCGTTAGCAGGAGCAGGTGAACATCACTTCCTTCCCTGGGGAGATGCAGGGATAGCTGAGGGATGAGACCTCACTGCTCTGTGCCCTGCAGCTCAGACCTGCAGCTGAGGTGGATTCAGGTACAGAACAAACAGATACACACCCAGGACAAACCCAGGAGGCTCCTGTGGATCTCACTCCCCACAGACACAGCTCAGTTCCCTGAGAAATAATAACAGACTGTGAACTTTGTCATTAAAGTCTTTAATAGATGTGCAAGAATATAAATGATCTCAGCTGTTATGGATTAGTATACCATCCTCTGCACAATTAAAACTGGTCAGCAAAGATCCCAACTAATTAATTATACAAAACTACAAGAACATATTTACTGTTTTACAATCATTAAATTAGCTAGAATTTTCATTTACTATTTCAAATAAGACAACTATATATCATTACCAGATCCATTTGTAATATATTAGGATTTTTTTTTCCAAACCACACATTTAATTACATCCTTCATTTTCTTTTATTTATAAAACAAGTACTTTATATAAAAAATTTCCCCTTCATCATGAACAGAACATTATTCAAACACTTGCACATGAGCAACCAAACTTGTACCCAGCAAACTATTTGGCAACACAGCAACATTGTAAATGCCTGTAAATCCTTAAAGAAAAAAAAAAATGATAAAAATCGAGGAGTCTTTACAATGTTTGTTTAGCAAATGTGTCTTCCTGTCCTTCCTTCCCTCCCGCCCTAAATGTTCTGAAACCTAGAAAAAAAGGTTAAAAAAACCCCCAACCCACGTCTCTAATGTTTCCAGTTTCAAGTCCCATGTCAAGGACAGCTTAACCTGTCACATGGCTGTTGATGAGCTGCCTGCAGTCACTGACCACTACTGATGAGCTTTAGTCCCAGGGGGTGAAACCACGGGAAGAGAACTTACTCAGGGGGAAGAAAACAGGAGGGAGAAGGGCAAAGGAGTAATTAAAAAAATGTCAGATTACATTTAAAAGGTAATGTTGCCTTAGTAGATAATAAAGTATCTAAAGTCCAGGCATTCGAGGCAAGTACTTCCGAGTTAAATCATTTAGTGCTGATTAAAACACGTTTTGCTTACTATGAAAAGCTACAGTTGAACAGAGAGAAAGCCACACCTGAAACCTGACTGGGATCCATGAAGAGCCACAGGTCTGTGGGACTGTGGTGACCGAGGGGATACAAAAGAGATTGTTAACCAATGCTTAATTGAGTACCTCAAGCAATGTTTGGCAGTCTGGTCCTAGCACCTCATGACTTGGATGTGAATCCCAAAGATGTCATGTTCAGCACCTAAAGCAATGCTGTACCCTGAGAAAACCATAGTGAATGAAAGGAAGTGAAAGTGTCACAATTGATCCTGGTTCACACCCAGCTGGGTGAGATGCCACAGCACAGGGAGCTCCTTCCCTCCTGTCCCTCAACCCTCACAACTGGCCCCAAACCCACCCCAGGGTCCCAACCAGCTCCTCACCCTCTGCACACAACAGCCCTGTGCCCTGGCACCCCCAGCTCCAGGAGAAGGGACTGGACAGCTGTCTCTGCTGTTCCCAGTTCCTTAGGTATTGGTCTTCCATGGAAAAAAAAAAAAAGATCAGCTCACTTGCCCCAAACATCCCATTCCCTGCTGTGGCATCAGTTGTTAGTGAGCACTGAGCAGCTGGGAGCAGTTTGCCACGAGGAGGAGGAGGAGGAGGAGGAGGAGGAGGAGAAGGAGGAGGAGGAAGAGGAGAAGGAGGTGTGCTTCATCAGGATTTGACCTCATGGTTATTCTAGACTTACTACTTTAAGGCTAAGCTTTATTATGCTTTTGCTCTATTTCTGAATACTTGTCTTGTTGATAAAAATACTTCTCAAAAATCTAATATACAACACAGTATCACTGTAGGTGTAGGCACTGCTTAAGTATGTCCAGGAATCTTTTTTTTTTTTGTGTGTGTGCAAATTTGGTTCTCCTCAATCTCTACGTTTTGGTAAATTTGGAGTTTTAAGACAACAGATTTTGAGATGGAGACAGTAAATCCTAATTTGGAATTAAATCTCACCGAGTCACTCTGCATTCCAGATTCTGTAAGAACACAACTAAACATCAGGCTGCAGCTGTGGACTGTGTGTTTCAGATGGAAATGGCTACTGAATATTAACAAGCAGAACTTACCAGGTGTAAGAACGTTCCAAACACAGAATAATCCTTCAGTTTATCCATTTAGGCACTTAAATCTTGTACCCAAACTTATGTTTTGATTGCTAATAAAACACAACTCCTTTTAAATATATCTGAGACGTTTAGACAGGTAACCACTTGTGAAAAAAGGCATCAAAAATAAGCTTCAACACCACCGTAACAGATTTTATTCTTCAGGATGTTACACGAACACTCTTCCACTGGGAGCTCATTGCACCAAAAGTCTGTAGAAAGGGGGTGGATCTCAGAGGTTCTCATCATCTCCTCCTGCAGGGATGCAATGAACATTCCAATCCTTCATGAAACAGGCACGAAATGCAAATTCCTTCATCAGTGAAGCAGTTGTGTCAGTGCCCAGAACGTAAGACTCACCAAGTGGCAGAGGACACCCACCAGAATCATTGTTTTTCCTCTCTTCTTTGATTTTCAGCAGCAGATTTGTTTTTAGCTCATTGGTCTCCACCCAGTGACCAGTCCCATCCTTGCATGCATATACTGGAGTTAAGGATAAAGTCATGTCATTCCCACTGTCCCCAACGAGCTCATCCCTTCATACTGTTTCTTCTGTCGACAGCAACAACGGGTTAATGTATTCAAACCCCTCGAACTCTGACTGATCTATTCGCTTGATTATGTCTCTGAAAGACAAAGGAAAGCAGAGAGTTAGTGCAGGGCACACTGGGGAATCCTCTGTGGTGCAACAAGGCTGATAACTCAGGCAAGGACACACAGAATTTCCCATTTACTGTAACCTGACCAGGTGCTAACCCAAACACATCATCTCTTCTCGGGGATTTTCAAGCAATGTCTAAATTAGTGTCCTAAGGTGCAGCTGATGTGGGGGAGCAGGACATACTCATCATCTGGGGTTAGCTGCACAGGTTCACTGGTGAACTGCGTGTCGAAGTTATCCAACCCGTAATCGTCCGTGATCTGGGGCTGGAAGGGAGGAGTGGTTTGCTTCTTTTCCAGCTGCAAAATAGAATGGGGAAAGGAGAAATGAGAACAAAACTAACCCCAGTGCTTACAACCACATCCTGAACTGATCCTACTCACACCTCCTCAGGCTGCTAAACCCTGGCACATACCTGGGGAACCCTGCTGGGTTTAAAAGTTACATCATTGGTGAATTCAGGTGGGTTTAAATGCACTGCAAGTACAAACACTTCACAGGTCTGAGGCTCCTCATCTTCCACCAGATCCAAACTGGTTCCCTGACATTTCACCCCCTCTGAGGGCTGTGTTAGCACCTCCAAACCTTCCTGTCACAGCAGAGGAGGTTTCTGAGCCACAAGAGCAGTGAAGTGCTGGGATAGCATTCCCAAGGGCTGTGCTAGGCCACACTCCCTTGGTCAGTGGGGCTTGGAATGTTTACTAACAGACCTGTGTGAAATGCCCACCAGAACAGGGAGGCACTGGAATCCAGACTGTCCTTCTGCAGACCTGAGCCTGCAGCACCCAAGGAACACATGGTTCCACCAGAGCTTCCATAGGGTTTCTAAAATCCACCCTACATTTAAAGATGACACCTAAAAGTTGCAACCATTCTCAGAGTTTGGAACCAAGACAGATTTTTGGGAATGAAATCAAGCTGTTCCCATGCTGGTGATGGAAGAAAGTTTGGTTCTCCACCCAGAGAAAGCAAAAAGGCTTTTACATGTATGGAACTGAGTGCAGCCCTTTGCCATGGTGTCATAAATTCCAGAATCCTTCCCCACCCAGAAGCACAAGCAAAGATCCTCACCAGGTCCCAGTCGATGCTGCGGAAAAACGTGTGAGACTTGATATCAGCAAATCCTGTCTGGGGCTGACAGCCAAGCCTTTCTTTGGGATCCTGTGGGAAACACACTCCTGTCAGGCTCCAGGCCACACAGCACACCTTGGCCAAACACCCTGACATGACTCCAGCACTCCCATCACCATGAAACTGCTGCTGGGACCACAGGCTGTGGCCAGCAAGGGACTGGTGTTCTTCTCCCTAACTAGTTTGCTTGGAGTTGAATTTGTAACTGACACTTCTCAAAAATGCATTTACATCACAAAATATGTAGATTTACATCTTTCAAAAAATCTACAAAATAGATTTATTTAGTCCTGTGTAATTCACCTCCTCCTTTTCTCCATTAAATTCCCAGTGGTTCTGCAAGTTTCAATCACCATCATTAACAGAGCTGTAAGTGTTACAGACAAGGGTTTGTAACCAAACCTAGAGTTATCTTTTTCCAGCTTTTAAACCCATCTGTGCTGTGGAATCCCCTGAGTAAATCTGCAGTTAGGAAGTGAGTTTTTAACCCAGAGGATAGCAAGGTTTTATAGATTTTCCTAATAGTAAGCAGATTAACTTCTTAGCTGTCTCACTTTCAACAGGAAGCTCTGACTTGCAGCTCTCAGATGCTAAAAATAAGAGACTGTTATTTACCTTGTTTAAAAATCCTTTTAACACATGGGAAGCCTTGACAGAAAGGAACCTTGGAATCCGGATTGGCTTCTCAAGGATAACTGTTACAGGTCAAAAACAGCAATGTTGGGTTTGGTTGGTGACACTGGCCAAGATTTCAATACAAACACTGTGTTATGTCAGCATGTTCCCACTTGGAAAATGGGAGGATGAGGTAGGTAAAATAATGCACACAAAAGGAGCTACAGTAACTCAAGGCACTGTTAGAGACATTGCAGCATCTCCTAAGAGACATGTTTCCCTATGATCTTTTTCTGCTGTTTGTAGTATAAACAGGAAACAAAACTTTGAGTGTCCTCAGGATAAGTGATTTTAAACAGAAATGGATACCATGAGGCCCTTCAAGAAGACATGGAGCACTGACTTCAAATTCACCTTGGCCTGTGGAACTCCTTCTAACAGAGACACCATTCCAGGCCCTGCCATTTCTGAACTCTGAACATTCTTACAGAACTATTTCACTGTCTGAGAAGGGCCCAACCAAATCAAGCCCTGCATGAAGGAAATACTGTGGCCTCTATCTACAACTGATCTACAGGGAGCTTCGGGATAACCATGGGAACCCTCCCTGTCCTCCTGGAGCTGCTGATGTCCATCAGTTCCCCCCAAAGCCACCCAAACCCCCAGGACTGTACCTTGGAAGAGGTAATCTTCAGTGTTCATGTCTGGATTGTCGGTGATGATGTCGAACGGGGATCTCCCTGCCATCATCTCAAACATCAGCACTCCCAGTGCCCACCAGTCCACGCTGAACCCTGGGCAGCACAGAGCACAGCTCACCAGTGTGACCCACACACAGCAGCACTGACAGCCTAGGTTCACCAGGGGCTGACACTCCTGCTGTCACTGAAGCCACAGACATGATTTACTCTGTCACTGATGTGTCTGAGTTGCCTGAGCTGGGATCACCTGCCTGGAGCCTGCAGCTGTCTGAAAAGTTGCTCTGAGGTCTCTACACAACCTTCTCTTCCCCAGGCTGAACAGCCCCAACAATATGCATTGGCTTTTCTCTATATAATAGCACAGAAACGTGGAAATCTAAAAATAATTGTATTTGAGTCAAGCTACAACTAGAGCTACTCTCAGTTGTTGTCATGACTTACCATATTCTTCTCCTCTGAGGATCTCTGGTGCAATGTAATTTGGTGTCCCACAGAAAGTGCTTGTAGTGTCACCAGGGCCCAAACCTTCCTACAGGCAGAAACCACAAATTAACAGCTGATCTCCTCCTCTGGGAATGTCCCTTCATCAGACAAACTCCCAAGTCACTTAGGGAGTCTGAGGAATTTCCTGTCACAAAGTAAATACTCACAGTGCTCAAAACTGGATTGATCTCACAGCTTATCTTCAGCAAAGAATTTGATTAAAATTTCATCACATGTTTCTAACAACATTTTGCTCATTATTTAGAGATACATTTAAAAAATTGAGTTAAGCATTTTGGAAGTCCTTTTCCAAGAGATGTTGGGGAAAACCTTCTACACGTTCAGTTCCAAAAGTGCTTCCATTCAGCAGTAATTTTCCAGAGTGAAGTTCCTATTCCACAACCAAATTCTGAGCCCAGTGACATCAGATAAATCTGACTTCTCAGCCCTCTCTCAGCCTCCCTGGAGGCAGCATTTGCCTTCATAGCATGAGTGACACCATGACCAAAGGAAGGAAGGAGAATCCTACCTTGCACATGCCATAATCTGTTAGCTTGATATGACCCTCTGCGTCCAGGAGAACATTGTCCAGCTTGAGATCTCTGTAGATGATTCCTCTCTCATGGAGGAAGTTTAGAGCAATACAAATTTCAGCAGCATAAAACCTGAAATTAGAAAGGAAAAGATTCCTATTAGCATTGAGATGGTACAAAAGCTGCTGCAATTCAGGTATCTGTTCCTAAAACATCACTTTATAGGCAAATTTTATCTGTCAACACCTACATTTATTCATAAGGTCACTGACTCTGTGTATCATACAAACAGTCCTTAAATTAGAGATGGGAAATTATTTTTCTCATCCTACTAAGAAAATATTTATCCTACAGATTTGTTCTGAAAACCCCAAGTATGAGATGGAAGATCTGTATTTTCAGTTTCAGAGGGACAGGGAGAGTCAGTGCAGTGCAGAGCTCTGCAAAATGCACTTTTCATCTCCCACCAACACCGTGGTAACCCAAGTGAAGTAGAATGGTTAGATGTTCTGTCAAGCATTGCCAAGGCACCTCAGCCACCCAGAGCAGTGAGCTGTGCCAGGACATACCTTGCATGTTCCTCAGGGAGTTTCCTTTGCCGTTGCATATGAAACATGAGGTCTCCCCCGTTCACATACTCTATGACAAGAAACAATCTGAAAGTATATAGCACAGTTAATAGAATTCAACTCTCCAGAAAAAAACCTATCCTTATCCTTCCCACCTCAGCCCTTTTCACTTCCACTCTTGACTCAGTTCTAGATTTCTCCCCGTTCTATGCTCAGGGAGGCAGCACAGAGCTCCTCTCTCTCCTCACTGCCCCTGGCTCTGTGCAGCAGTGAATCCCTGACAGTGCCACTGCTTCCCCCCAAAGCCCCTGGCTGTGTGATGGCACTGGTGATGCTTAGGAGAAGCAATTAGCACAGTGGTCAGGAGTTTGAAGAGGTTGGAGGTCTCTCTTACCGACTCGTTGTCTGAAAACAGGAATGCAAACCAACCAGGAAGGGGTTACTGGATGCCTGTTCAAACACATGTTTCTCTGTCTGTACCCAGTCAATATCCTGAAACAGAGTAATTGAACAATCAGAACTGCTGGACAACCACTGTGGGTGTTCCCAGAAAACAGCTGTGAGCATCACTGCTGCCTTGCATACACCATCACTGATTTTCCAACAGGCACTTGCAGCTTTCCAACCAACCCAGAGACAAACACAGACTGAGACACTCTTCCTGTCAAGGATGGATGGTGAAACTACAGTGTCAAAGGGAAGAGAAATGTCACTGCCAAATGAAATAAACCTGTTAGGTTTTGTGCTGGGACACAAAGATGACACAACACCTTAGGAGGGTAAACCTGGGTCCAAACAGCAATAAATGTGTCCACCTGATTTGGGTTTTACTCAATGAGCTTCTCTTTAGAAGTCTTTAGATTAACCCCTTCATTAGTGCACTCCTGTATGAATGCATTGCCATCACACCAGAGCACTGCTGCTAACAAAATTAGGCTTAGAACAACTAGCAGCAGCAGCTCAGCTATCTGACTTGCTTCCATCTCACTCCTCTCCAGCATCCACCACCCCCTGCAAAGCACCAGCTCATTCAAACACACTGACACTTGCTGTGCAATTAATTTTCTTTCTCCACGAAACACTTACAAGGTGAATTTTCCATTACTTGCCATATCTCCTGCACTCAGGGTTCAGTGAATTGCCTATCAGTCCCCAGAATTTCACTGTACAGCCTCACAGAAAAGACAACCCAATTAGCTCAGTCTCCCATGCAATTATCTGAGAGCCACTGCTCAAAAAACCTTCTCACTTCTACCTCTGATTCTCAGAAACAGCTGCATAACTCATTAAACAGCACTTGGCTTTAGCTTCTAACTTCTTGGAAAGACACATGTTCAAAAGGAAGAGGTAAATAAACCACACAACAGTCTAATCTTTGTTCTTAAAAAGGAACATCAAATACCTGAGCAAGCCAAAGTGTTTCAGAAGAACTGAGGCCCTGGAGTAATGACAAAGGTGACAGCCAGAGCAACTGACTGAAACTACCAACACAAACAGTGCTTAAAATAGAGCTTTGGGGTTATTTTCCCCTAATATCCTACTTTCAAAACCTTCAGTCTTTCAGCAGCATAAACTTAAAATCTTATCACTAAGGTTATTTTCCCCCCTAACCTGTGCATTTGAGGCCCTGCATTAAAACACTAAGAGGATTGTGCCAGCACTGGAGCAATACAGCCCTGATCTCTGGGGCAGACAGAGCCACAGGGACCTCAGATGGCAGAGACATCACTTTTCAGCTCATGGACAAAGATATTCCAGACTTGTGTGTCACTCGCACATAGGCTCTACCAGCAGGACTGTCACAACAGTTTCAGCTCCGTCGCTGACAGACAGACAATGCTCTGCAGCTACATTCATTTGCTTGGAAAAGATCTTTGATTTCTCTCAACACTAAGGGCACAAATTCCACCCCGTTTGTGTCCTCACTCAGAAATCCACATGCCCAGGTTGGAGTGTTTAACATGTTTGTTTCACCAGGACTAAAGCTAACTGTGGTTAGAACAGGGACCATCTCTCCAGGCTCACACAGACACTTGGTGACACAAGCCCCAGGGCCAGACAAACCCTCTGACAGCAGTGCTGGCTGCAGCAGGAGCTGCTTGCTCAGCTGGATGGTTCTGTTAAAGCACATAACCTTTTCACAACAACAGAACACAAATAACACAGACTTTTACCTCGTCGTCATGGACCAATTCTTTCTTCACTACTTTCATAGCATAAATCTGATCATTCTTTTTTAACCGAACTAGGAGAACTTTGGCATAACTTCCACGGCCAATAACTCTGATCAAATCAAAGTCCTGCAGTCCAAGGCCCTGAGAAATCTTAATTCCATCCATTCCATCGATGACTGGTTTGATATCCTGCAGAAAGAGAAACACGAGACATTTCCATAGCAAGGAGCTATTCAAGCAAAGAGATCCTCAGGCCCTGGGCAGGATTTGCTGAGTTAGCTCTGCTCTGGCACACAGAGCTGAATGCTGATTGCAACACTTCTGGTAGAAATATTTGGTTGCTATTGGTTTTGCTTTTACTAAAAGTCACTGTTTTTTCAAGGCAGCAGTTCAGCCAGTGACTCATTTTCTTATCCCTCCTGGAAAGCAAAGCCTTGAGGAATGAGGTTCTAGTCAAGTTCCTGAACCACAAGCCATGCAGAATCATTCTTTGTATTAAGTCTTTGCTTATCTTTTGCATTCTGACAGATACTGCAGCACTAATTAATACAGGCCATCTAAACCTGAGGCAGATAAGGAATCCCTAATTTGCTAATGAATATACCTGTCTTGGTTCCAGCCTGTGTAACTAACAGCTGTGCTCAGCTCACCGTGGAGCTACCAAAAGCCAAGACCCCTCTGAGCTGCCTGGGAGCATGCAGAGCTCAACTCCTCAAGAGTGGGAACTTGCAGGAAACATTCCACCACAAAAATGTTATTTGAGAGGATAAATTTCATCGTCCTGACTGGGAATGAGATGTGAAAACCTGAGGCTGGAGCAGCTGAACTCGAGAAATGCAGCAGGTACCTGGCCATGTCAGGTTTCACCAGCACATCCCAGGCTTTGACACACTTCTGTGGCCTATTTTTACCTGACCTCACAGCACTGTACTCGCAGACAGATCAGCATTCTGTGCAACTGTGGAAAGTATTTATATAAAGAGTCTTGATCTAGGATTGACTGCTATTAGAAGAGATTGCTCTAAGCTGAAACACTCTCGTCCAAGCTCCCAAAATGCCAATTCCTCTCCATAGGATACCTGCAATTATTTCAGCTCAGAGCAAGGTGGGACAACCAGAGCAGCACAATTCAAGGCAGTTGAGCAAACAGCACCTATCAAGATTTAAACACACACAGAATCTACCTGAGCACGAAGCCCAGAAATCAGCAATTCAAATTCCCTGATGTGTTTTTTATTTATGCCCTTCCATCTCTGAACTGGAGATGAAACCTGAAGACACAAGGCTGAAAAGAAGGCACTGACCCAGGAGCAGGAGCTACTCGAGGGTGAAAGGAATGGAGTGACAGGCATTGTGGTGGAGGCACAGGAGGAAAGGTGCAGCCTTGCTGGAAGGGGAATATCAGCCTGACTGCCACTGCTCTGCAGAGTGTGTCCCACTTATCTCAGACATGCCAGAAGCACTTCCCAAAGAAAAGTCTTGAAGTCCTTTAGAATTGAAGCATATTTGGATTTTTCAAACTGCTTTAAGGGAGCAACATTCTCGGAGTGCAGAGATTGTGCCTGACTGCCTCTGAAAGAGGTGGGAAAACCAAGCTGAAGTGTGTGCTGTTCTGCACAGGAGCTGTCTGAGCTGTTAGGTATTATTTATGTGAACTCAGAGAGGTGGATAGTTAATGTGCTATCAGAGTGAGCCAATGCTAGCCTGAGGCTGACAGGGTGAACATCCATTAGGGCCAGCACACAAGACAATGTCACAGCACCAATACAGTCAGACCTTCTGCTAAACCACTGCTATTCCAACATAAATGGAAGGCAGGGAAAAAAGAAAAAGGTATCTTGGCTCATGACTGGAATAACAAGAACTGAATACAGAGGAAACCTGAAAAAAAAAATCCAACCAAATTGGAATAACAAGAGCTGAATACAGAAGAAACCTGAAAAAAAAAATCCAACCAAAATGCTGATAAAATTCTCAACTTTCAGAAAATACAGATTTTTTCAAAAAGCAGCATAGAAACCTGACCAAGTCATTGGACTGGTTTGTAAGAGCTGAATGATTAGGAGTATGCAAATATGAAGTGCAAGTACATTTTAAACACATACCTCAGAGTCATCTTTAATGGTGTCGTGTTTCCGGCTGGAAGGAATGTAGGGAACTGGAAAAGACACCAAAGCAGTGTTAAGGTTAAGGTTAAAAAGACCTTCCTTGGAAAACATTTCAAAACTGATACACAGCAAGATGACTTGGTTGGTTAAGGTCAGTTTGTTTGACATGCTAAGGGACAGTTGACCAAATTTTATTGTTGTAATGAAGAGGAGTGAAAACTGAACCTCCAGATGGGGAAACACAAACTCCAAAGGGACAAGTACTCACTTCCATCAGTTTCTTCTGAAGGGAGATCAACTTCATCACTTTTGTCACCTAAGCGAGGTTCCTGGGAAGGCATGACCGAATCCTGGCCCAGCACAGCAGGACATGGGGAAGGAAACCAAACTGGTTAGCTCTGAGGTCAGGACCTCTTGCCACATCCCTGCAGCTCCCTGACAACTTTGCCCCTGTGGAACTGAATCCTGAGCTGTGTGTGCTGCAGGACACACCCAGCCCAGCAGCACCCTAATGCTGTACCAACCCTCCCCTCAGCTGTCTCCTGGGAGTGTATTTTCCTGCAAAGTCCAACCTTTTGTTCCTTCTAAGGCTTCTGAGTGTTTCTCGTGGCACCACAGCAAAGCAGCAGGATGTTACACACTGCATTTAGAGCTCTGCCATATTCCTTGGCTGCTTAATAAAGGCACCAATTGTTGTCACTCATTATGCAATTGGTAAAGATCACAATTCCAGAGAGTTCTATAGTACATGTGGACACTGGTCTCATTCATGAGACACACAGACTATTCCAGGAGGTAGAGCAACATGCATCAATTAATTGGCAAAGAATCTGTAGTATCAGACAAGTCACATGCAATAGCACTAAAGAAAATACCGTAAGTTTTGAGGTGGGAAAAACAGGATCCAACCAGTAGTGAAATATTGGGGATGACTGTGAAAAAAGGACTAAAATTTAGGGATAGAGATGTTTGAGTGTTTAAATTAACCCCATCCTGGCTAAAACCAGGACACTAGGAAAGACAGCAGCATTGCCACTGGAACCTGTGAGGATCACAGAGAAGATGAGAACAGTACAGGAGAAATTTGATTGCTTAGGACACATTCACCAACAGCAACAGAGGTCAGAGTGAGCCACCTCAGCTTGGTACACGGTGCAAACTTACCATATGCCTTTTGCAGGTCAGTGGGACAAGTATGTGACAGCGTTTATGGACCAACAACTTGCAGTTGATACACTTGTAGCCTTGCCTTCCCAGCCCCCATATCCTTTCACTGCACTGGCCACAGTATGCTCTCTGAAAAAGGCACAGCAGAATTCCATCACCAATCCCCCTCTGCAGCTGAGTGGTTCTCCAGAGCAGCAAGAATCCAGCCCAGTCACCTAACAGGTGGTTAGCAGTAAGCACTGTAGAATATCCAGGGTTTCCCCCAAACCTGAAGGTTATTGCACTCAGAGTTCAGCTAAATACAGTCCTTCTTGTAATGAACATAACTAAAAAACACAACCCTTAGCACACGGAATACATTACAGTGTAACATTAGAGAGTAGGTCTATTTAGAACTTCAGGTTCTGACAGAGGTCACCCAAACAAAACTGCCAGGAATGTGTCCTGCACAATTGGGTATAAAACACACCCAAAGTGACTGTGCTGCATAATTAAACCCCCATCTATCAGCCCTGTTGTCAAAACTCTGTATTGCACCAAACATCAAAAATAGATGTTCTTTTTACACATGGAACCAAATGAATTAAACCCAAAAAAGGACAAATGAAGGAACCAGACTGTGGTGTACCAAGGCACAGATTTCTACAGTCTCTTGCCCCACACCAGACATTCTGCTGCTGCTTTACCAGGACAGTGCAAGTCTGTTCCTCCAGGAACTGCACGTTGCAGTGTGGTCACTCAGCTCCTCAGACTGGTGAGTCACACCACGTCCTGCCCAAAACTTTTGGCTACTCTAAATCCTTACTAGTGGTGTCAGAGTGATGTAAAAAATAGCAATAGGAAAAGAGCTAATGGCCAAAGAATGGAGCATTTTTAAAGATGGTTTTCTGTATTGCCTTCTTGTATTTTGGTAGTTGTAGGAAACAAGAGTTAACTATATCCTCCCTACATTTTAAAGCCCCTTAACTACATTTTAAGGGGCTTTTCCTTCTTCCAGTGCAGTTTTAGGGGTGGGGAATGCTAGGAAAAAAAGCTAATTTCATTTTTTAACAAAATGTTGCTGCAGAATGAAGGAGTTAACTCCCCTCTCTGCACTGTCTGAGTGGAATCTCCGAGGTGCACACTACATTTGTGTATATGCTGCAATACTCAGGCAATAATGGGCTAAGTGCAGGAGGTGTCTCAGCCTTAAAGCTACATTCACTTGCTTCTGTGGATTAAGTCAGATTCTTAAAAGACAGCTATATTTTGGCTCAATAAACCAAGCTTTTTTAATTCTTGGATTCTGTAATACCCAGATTTGAAAGAGTTAAGTTACAGCTCCTGGTATGAGCTTCAAGAACCATAAGAAGTCCTGAAGGGAAAAGATTGTGCTGACAGGCAATCCAAGTCACATAAGGAAGACAGAGGGGAGAAGCTGCTCCAAGTTGCATCAGTTTAAACAGCCACAAACCCATTTTTTCAGAGACTTGAAACAATTCCCCCCAATCCCACACGAACTCCACCCCAGACTCAAACCCTTCCAAGTTTCCCTGACCGTTCCGACCCGGATAACACCGCGCGGAGCGAAATGTCACACCAGCAGCATCTTGCTTCGCCTTTCTCTGCAGCACTCCAGCACAGAAACAGCACAGCCTGAGCAAAACAATGAGCACAGAACATGCCCCAAGCCCAAGGTTTTCTGCAACAGTACTCACTCTGTTAAAGCGTTTGGCCTGGAACAAGTGCCCATTCACTCGGTACAGCTTCCTCCATCGCCGGGCGCCGCGGCGGTAGATGGACTCTAGGGAGGCAAGGACAGAGGTGTAGAGCAGCAGCATAGCAGCACAGCAGCCCCACACACACTGCTCCAAGAGAGCTGTGCCTGGGCACACTCCTGCTCTGCTCGTCCCTGGGGGTTGGTGTTTTTAAAGGCTGCTCTGAGTGACAGCTCGGCCAGGATGTGCTCTCACCGATGCCTCTCCCTTTCCTCCAGCTCTGTCTCTCTTCCCTCACATGATCATAATCCTGTTACAGCTCCTGGGCTGCTCCAGCTCAGGTGAGAGGACAGAGCTGTTACAGGAACAGCTCCTCGGGAAGTGACGCTGCTCTGGGTCACCTTCCCCCGACGCTCAGGGGATGTTTGGGGTCAGCACACAGCACATCACAGAGTTAAACCTGCTGCACTATTCCACCTCCTTTCTACCCCACCATTACCCCAAATCTCTCTTCTTCCAGGCAGTTCAACTGCCATTATTTCTAATATATCCTCATCCCAACAAGAAACCATTTAACCTCTTCCAGCCAGGATTTCCCAGGGGCCAAACACCGCAGTGCCCAGCATCACCACGGGTTATTCTGGCTGTCACTTTTCACATCCAGATGGGCAATTTCTTTGTGAGTGGCTAAGCAGAGAGTTTGAGAGTTGATAACAAAACCTGTTGTGCCACAGGGTCCCACCTAGAGCTGCAGTGGTGACACAGCCAACCTGTGGCACACAGCTGGGACCAGGAGTTCAGCTGGGTCCAGGCTGGGTCAAAAGACTCCGACAGACTTGACTGATAAACACCCTGCTGAAGCATTAAATTGCACATTTATAATCCTCAGGAGTTGATGCAAGAGCATCTCAAATGTCATGTTTCACATTGCTGACTTCCAAGTGTTAAACATCCACAGCTCAGCAAGGAAAAAGTGTTTCTTAAATAGAAACCCCCCCAGACATTTTCCCTGTGAAAAGATAATGCAAGTAGTAAAAAGTTTCTTTGTTGAGAAATGATTCTAACATTATACTGAGCAAGCCAAAACTCACAGGGTATTGACACACAATGTGTGAACACTGACTGCAATCCTGGCTCTGGTTTTAGATCCTCTATTTCTGTACTTCCAAGGGAAGGAACATACAAGTACTGAAGTTTCTGTGACTCCACAAATCTACAGTGCCAAATCCCCAAACATTCATCCCTACTCCATTTGCATGTGCAAATGTTTACTGTGCAGGCAATTTGAGACAGATATTGCACTATTAAATGAACTGTTAACAACTGGGGAAAGCCTGAGCAGCTTCTCAGAGCAGCTGAATGACATGTACTGCAGATATTGCACACCACGAGGTGGCAAAGACACAGCCACAGAACAGAGCTGTGCTCCTGGATATGGTTCTCTGACTCAAACAGCTCTTCAAAATCTGCCAAACACCAACTTTTCTCCTCCTAAGTGCAAAGAAAATTCAAATGAGAACACAGCAAAAGTACTGCTAAGTTTTTCACTGAAACAAACTCCACTGGAAAACTCTTCCACCGTTTGTAGGGTGACTTTTCACCAGGAGGAAAACTCTTCCCAAGGGTTTCTTCCAAAATAGCTCATTAATTCATTAGACAAAGCACCATATGGAGACAACCTAATACATCTGTGAGCTGAACATTAGCTTATCACTGACGTGAGGAATATTAAGTGAATGATAAGTTAACGAGCAGCTTGTGCTGATGAGGTCTGTAAATAAAGGAGCAAGTCACCTCCCTAATTAATGATAAATATTAAATCAAAGTCAGGGTTTGATATCATAGACTTGTGAGGCAACAATCTAACAAAAACTGACTGAACACAACAGAGCCTTCAGGAGTAGGAACCCTCACAATTCCCCATGGGAACTGCAGTGGTTCTATGCAGGGGCTGAGGCTCATTCTCTGCCCCTAAAAGAGTTCCAGGTAAGAGAGGAGAAAACAGAGATCACTGAGACACACCTTTCTATCACAGGTTCTATAATTACTCTTATACTATAAGATTACATTTCTGTGACAGAATAAAACATTCTTGTTCACTGAGGACCCAAATCTGGGACAAGTGGCTGATCCAGCACATGGCTGTGCTGCCAGAGAGACCTCAGCCCCTGGAAAACTGAGCAGGCAGAACCTGAGGGATGAGGACATCCTCCCTACAAATTCCCTCAAGGATAGTGGTAAGTTATAAAAAGGAGTCTGGGTTTTTAATACCATTGTTATTTCAAAGCGTTGTCAGCTATACAAAAATCCTAACTGGAGCAAGGAAACCACCTTGAACAGTGCCTGGATTCACAAATGGCAGGGGGTGCACACCTGGAATTGGGAAACGAACAGTTTGTTGTCAGTGTTGTGTGAACAAAGCTCTAACCTTGGTTTGCATTTCACCCCTGCACTGCCCATGGGAAAAGGACACTTAGGACCCCAAACCAAAGGTTTAGGTCCATGTTTCAACAACACTTTGGAATAAAGCACGTGAGGCATTCCAGGATTCCTGCTAAGCAAGAACTGAACCAGGATTTTGCAGGCAGGATTGATCTCAGCTGTGT